GTGCAAATCAGTAGAGAATCCGCAAAGGGTAAACACACCTTCTCGCCACGTCAACATGATATCCGCCGACAAATGCATCAAATGGGTCATTCATTCGATAGGAACAAGTCCCTTGATTTTGGACATAAAGTGCAACGCATGGCGACTGTTTCAAACTGCAATTGCTTACTCCCGAACTCACTAGATTTTACCCAACTTATAGTTGCTCTCGTCAAGATTTGTATGTTTTTTTTCATCAATTGTTTTGGCATTATTTCTTAAGCACTTTGTTAAATCTCTATCTGTACATCGCTGAAGTCTGTGCTTATTTTCCTCCAACTGTATTCTACTGTTTTCTTTATCACATTTGTCGGAAATTTCGTATAAGCATCTTTGGTACGTTTCATACTCGATATTTATAGCTTCCTCTGGTTCCTTTGTTATAACAACAAATATGATTTCATCTCCGCAATGCTTGTCAAACTTATTGTATCTAAAGGCCGTCCAAACATTCACTATCTTACTTGACCTTGTTTTTATATATTGACAAATGCACTGACAGATCGACTGGAAAATGTCTGATCTAAGGTTTAGCGCTGGGCCAATCTTTTTCAGCAAATATTTATCGGGCAAAATCCCCATTTCTAGTAACTGTTTTGCCTCATATCCTTTGTCTACTTTGTTCAAAAATAATTTCCAAACATTCGAATCTGAAATTTACGAAACGAAAAATCGTATATTGATAAAGAGACGATTATAAGAGTATTTTAAAGGGTAACACTCTTTATGCATTCATTATCTTAGATAACTGTGGATCACAGTTCTAAGTAGCCGAAAGGGTAAATGAAAAAAATGTTAATGTAATGTTATATCATATTATTAATAAGACATATAAATTGTTTTATATAAGGTATGTAGAGCCACAGTTAGCTGGTTTGTAATTTATTTATGTTATAATTGACTTAAACTAGAACTGCCACTATCTTGGCGTGAATACCCCCGCATACCACTTTGTCAGAATCAACAGTGGCCATTTAGAGCGCAAGGACAACCTCCCTGCCCAAAACTGAGGTTAAATAAGCCAGTGCATTGCTAAGTTTTGTATTCTTTCATGCTTCAAATGTGGGAAAAAGTCAAAAAACAATAAAATTGCCCGGGCAGGACATTCTTTAGCAATTAGAAAGAAAAGTTTTTTTTTTTTTGTAAGAAAACCCCTGTTTGACCCTTTTAATTTGAAACCCAGGACCCAAAATTTCCAAAATAGGGATTTACCTTTAATTCAAAGGGATTTTAAAACCCCCCTTCCAAAATTTGAAGGGCTGTGGGTCAAAGGGAACATTTTAAATTAAAGGGTTTAGCAACTTTTTTGAAGTCAAAAGTCCCTATTGGGCCTTTCACCTTTGATCCAGTGGAAACCCCAAAATTTAAAAAGGGGCATCTACTTTTTTTAATCCCTGGAAACTAACCCCCATTCCAAAATAATTTTTTAAAAAAACTTTTGGGGTTCCCTAAGGAATCTTAAGTAATTTGGCGGACAAGCTTTTTGAAGTCAAGGCCCCTGTGACCTTGACCTTTGACCTGGTGACCACAAAATCAAATAGGGGTCATCTACTAATCACGACTAACCTCCATTCAAATATGAAGACTGTGGGTCATAGGAATCTTAAGTTATAGGGCGACAAGCTTTTTGAAGTCAAGGCCCCTGTGACCTTGACCTTTGACCTGGTGACCTCAAAAGTCAATAGGGGTCATCTACTATCACGACTAACCTCAATTGCCAAATATGAAGACTGTGGGTCAAAGGAATCTTAAGTTATAGCGGGGACAAGCTTTTTAAAGTCAAGACCCCTGTGACCTTGACCTTTGGACCTGGTGACCTCAAAGTCAATAGGGGTCATCTACTAATCATGACAACCTCCATGCCAAATATGACGACTGTGGGTCAAAGGAATCTTAAGTTATTGGGCGGACAAGCTTTTTGAAAGTCAAGGCCCCTGTGACCTTGACCTTTGACCTGGTGACCTCCAAAAATCCAATAGGGTCATCTACTAATCAATGACTAACCTCCATGCCAAATATGACGACTGTGGGTCAAAGGAATCTTAAGTTATTGGGGCGGACAAGCTTCTTTGAAGTCAAGGCTCCTGTGACCTTGACCTTTGAAACCTGGTGACCTCAAAATCAAAAGGGGTCATCTACTAATCATGACTAACCTCCATGCCAAATATGACGACTGTGGGTCAAAGGAATCTTAAGTTATTGGGCGGACAAGCTTTTTGAAGTCAAGGCCCCTGTGACCTTGACCTTTGACCTAGTGACCTCAAAATCAATAGGGTCATCTACTAATCATGACTAACCTCCATGCCAAATATGACGACTGTAGGTCAAAGGAATCTTAAGTTATTGGGCGGAACAAGCTTTTTGAAGTCAAGGCCCCTGTGACCTTGACCTTTGACCTAGTGACCTCAAAATCAATAGGGGTCATCTACTAATCATGACTAACCTCCATGCCAAACATGACTACTGTAGGTCAAAGGAGTCTTAAGTTATTGGGCGGACAAGCTTTTTGAAGTCAAGGCCCCTGTGACCTTGACCTTTGACCTAGTGACCTCAAAATCAATAGGGGTCATCTACTAATCATGACTAACCTCCATGCCAAATATGATGACTGTAGGTCAAAGGAATCTTAAGTTATTGGGCGGACAAGCTTTTTGAAGTCAAGGCCCCTGTGACCTTGACCTTTGACCTAGTGACCTCAAAATCAATAGGGGTCATTTACTTATCATGACTAACCTCCATGCCAAATATGACGACTGTAGGTCAAAGGAATCTTAAGTTATTGGGCGGACAAGCTTTTTGAAGTCAAGGCCCCTGTGACCTTGACCTTTGACCTAGTGACCTCAAAATCAATAGGGGTCATCTACTAATCATGACTAACCTCCATGCCAAATATTAAGACTAAGGGTCAAAGGAATCTTAAGTTATTGCGCGGACAAGAAAAAACCGACGGACGGCCGGACGGCCGGACGGACGGACAGCCGGACGGACGGACGGACGGACAAGCTGATTCCAGTATACCCCCCTTACAACTTTGTTGTGCGGGGGTATAAACATAACCTACAATATTAGAATAATATCCATATATAAAGCGACAAAAAACAGTACAAACGCATACCTATTCGAAAGTCTTTCTGCTTCTTATCTTTGCAAATGACTGGATTTTCAGGTTTATTTTCATCAAAACTGACTTCTCTAAAATCATCAAGATTGACAGAGGCCAGGTCAGATGGAATTTTATGAATAGAATCCACCGAGGTTACTAGTTTCATTTTAGACAAATCAGTGCTATCTGAAATACGTACAAACAAACACTCAGTATTACTGCTTGATGTTGCTTGTGCATTTGTAAGTATAAATAATGGCATAAAGGGCAAGAACATGGAGTGCATATCACTAATTTGATTTATTTTACTTCAAATCCTGACAGCGCGATACAGACACATTTCAATATTACAATTAAAATTGTAAAGTACTATTACTATTGTAATGTAATATACGTTTGTGTGAAAATAAAATATGTTTAAACTAAACAAAAAGCTGTTTTGCAAAATATCCACTAAAACAAAGTTAACAATGAATTGGACAGAATATTTTTCTTCTTATATTTCTCATTTGGATTTATAGCGTGCACCTAGATAAAATCCATACAAATTAAGATATTCTTAGCCTTCTCATTTCTCTACGAAACATGACTTGTCTCCCTGTACTGCATTGTCTATTATTTCATTCCACCTTTAACTTCTTAATTACCTTCTAATAACCCGGACTCTGGCTTGTCTTTCTGACTGGTGATGGATTCGTTATCTTTGTTGTGTTCTAAAACCTTTTCTTGTTGTTCCTCAATTTGGCCGATACCCATGCCTTGTTGCATCACGTCTTTAAATACCTCACTGTTAAGCAAGTGCTCCACCACATGCTTGCCAAGTCGTTCAGTAAATTGCTCTCGTCTCCTAGTATCTACATGCATCACAAACAAAAAATCCGAAGTCTTTTACAATATTTATCAATTTTCCTTTATTTTATTTCCTGTTCTTCAAATACACCAATTAATCTTAATAATAGATAAAATATCAAACACCGACTTGATATGTCAGAGCTTATATATTTTCAGTTTTAAAATATTCCTTGTCATAAACAGAGAGATAAGAAATTAACGACTCAAGCCATACTTGAATACAAATATGAAGTAAAGACAAGTTCATATAATAAGAGATTTTAAAACAAAGATAAATAAAATGGGTGAAGCTTCAACTTAACTTTTTAATGAACCTAATTTCTAAATATAAAAATTAAAAATATTCAAAAATGGGTCAAAGACAGAAAAGGCCGGGTTGCATTTGTATACCAAATATCATGATGCTGTGATGTTACGTAAAAAAAATTTCCACTGACCATTAATGACGAAAATTTAACTAAGTGGGTAAACAGGAAGTGGATGAGCAACAGACCTGAATTAGAATCCCACAGTATACAGTATAGGACCATGCGTCAATGCTATATGCAAAATATCAAAAGGCTGTGATAAGTAGTTGCTGAGAAAACTGTTACGAAAATTTCCTACCATTGACCATTAATGTTGAAAATTTAACTAAGTCGATAAACAGGAAGTGGAAGAGCGACAGACCTGAATTAGAATCCCGCAGTATAGGACCATGTGTCAATGCTATATGCAAAATATCAAAAGGCTGTGATAAGTAGTTGCTGAGAAAACTGTTACGAAAATGTCCTACCCATTGACCATTAATGTTGAAAAGTAAAGTCGGTAAACAGGAAGAGGATAAGTGACAGACCTTAAATGGAATCCCACAATATGGGACCATGTGTCAATGCTGTATGCAAAATATCAAGAGGCTGTGATAAGTAGTTGCTGAGAAAACTGTTACGAAATGTTTTTCCCCGCCCGCCCGCCGTCCGACATTCACCATACTATAACCCGGGTTTGCACCAGTGCAACCCGGCCAAAAATGGCCAATGATATGTAAAATAAAAGAAATGATTACCGTCTCCTTGGCGACTTGTCTGAAAGAAAACATTGACAACGTTTCAATAAGTATTTCAAGAATAAACAAGAAACATGGCAATGCCACGAAACCAGGTTTTCAATTATCACCATTGTAGATAAATATGTTGTATTTGAAATACAAATACAAGCAACAAACAATGTAACTATGTGCAATGTAAAACATGAATAATGTAGGAGGAATTGCCACAGAAGAAGTGTTCACTATATATTCTATATAAGTAAAACAACAAAGGGCCATAATTAGGTCAAAAATTATCCAATCACAAAACCCCCAACAATATGAGCAATGGCACTTGATGACAAAGCTTCTGTGAAAGTTTGAACAAAATCCATTTAGAAATGTAGGACGAGTTCAGCACAGAAGAATTTTTTCACTATATATTGATAATTCTGTATAAGGAAAAAAACCAAAGGGCCATAATTAGGTCAAATATTATCCAATCACTAAACCCCTACAATATGCCCCAGGGCACTTGATGACAAAGCTTCTGTGAAAGTTTAGTCAAAATTCGTTTAGAAATGTAGGAGGAGTTGCGCACAGAAGAAATTGTTCACTATACATTCTATACTATATAAGGAAAAAAACTAAGGGCCATAATTAGGTCAAATATTATCCAATCGCAAAACCCCGACAATATCTGCCAGGACACTTGATAACAAAGCTTCTGAGAAAGTTTGGTCAAAATCAATTGAGAAATGTAGGAGGAGTTGCGCACGAAAGAAATTGTTCACTATATATTCTATATAAGGAAAAAAAACAAAGGGCCATAATTAGGTCAAATATTATCCAATTACAAAACCCCTACAATATGCCCCAGGGCACTTGATGACAAAGCTTCTGTGAAAGTTTGGTCAAAATTCGTTTAGAAATGTAGGAGGAGTTGCGCACAGAAGAAATTGTTCACTATACATTCTATATAAGGAAAAAAAACTAAGGGCCATAATTAGGTCAAATATTATCCAATCGCAAAACCCCGACAATATGCGCCACGGCACTTGATGACAAAGCTTCTGTGAAAGTTTGGTCAAAATCCGTTGAGAAATGTAGAAGGAGTTGCGCACAGAAGAAATTGTTTACGCCCGCCCGCCCACATACCTCAATCTAATAACCAGTTTTTTCCTTCGGAAAACATGGTTAATAAAATGTAAAACGGTATACCTTCGGATGATTAGAAACAATTTTTTTTAGTGTGCGGGGTAAAATTTATTTCAAAATTAGAATCATTTGAAATCCCCTGCACTTTATCTATTTATTTATTGATATCAAAAATCGTCATCTGAACCACAATGCAATACGTATACTATTTAGTTTAAATAAAGTTATAAAGTATGTTTTAAGTAATTGCATTGCAAGAGGTAACTAGTTCTTAGGCGAAAAGCAATATTAAACTAGCACCTCGTTTTTCTTTTCTGACCTTTTAAGACAGCAACAGTTTGAGTTGAAAAAGAACAAAATCGTAGCCAGACAGCGTTACTTTTGTCAGTATTAGCAACAAAGAACAAGAAAAAAAGTCGAAAACACCCATGGTTAATCTAAAACGCAAAGAAAAAACCTAGTAAAACACTTTTATTTATGTTACTGGGTTGTGTTGGGGCTGCGTTCTGTAAACGTTGCATTGGCTTGTTGATCTTTATTGTTATTCCAGCTAGTCCGTCCTAATTGATATATGTGGAAATGTAAACGAAATATTATTTAAAAAACAACCTGTGAAAAAACAACCAGGTACTTACAGTTACATCTTCATTTCTCGTCTCAAAATATGTGTAAACAGTGTCTTGGAGATCCATTAAAGCCTTACTGGTTTCACCCTGATGCTCAATATTGCTCTGTAAAGACTTTTCTAAAGAAGCTAGCCTTTCGTTAAAGTCAATATTACTCTTTTCTATTGCAAATTTCAAGTCATCTAAAGATTCGCCATCCTGAAAATATATTCAAATATTTGAAAATGTAAAAATTAAGATAAAATAACCGAATTTTCATATACAAACAGTACATTGGTCAATGATCTCGAATGACTGACAAGAATGAAAAGAAGAAGGGCATGGCAATTGTATCACCAGTATACCAGGTTTTGCGATAATTTTCATTCTGAAAATAGATGATTTTACACAAAATATTCCTTAGACACATCAGCAGCCTCATTTGTAAGTACTAGTGTTAATGCAGAAGAAGAAAATAAAAGTGGGATATTTGGTGAAGACAAAGACGAGCTACGCAGATATAAAGATATAAAAGTGGAACAAAATAGGTAATGAGCGGGTCTTGAAAAATCATATTCGATTTTACTTTTAAAATCTTAAGTTGACCAGACGATGCGATATCAGTGGCATTTATTGAGAATTCGTAGGGCAGGATCTTCATATGTCAAAGATAAGCTTTTTTCTTTTTTCAATTTTCACAAGAGGGGTGAAAAAGGTAAATATGAATATGCAAGACAAACGACGTTTCTTTTATAAATAAGGCAAACTTTCGTAATGAAATTAAATGAGTTATACCGGCGGACTCTTTTTTGATTCTGAAGACAGGTCCCTTTTCACAGAGGTATCGTCTGCAACAAAAAAAAAACAAACAAAAAACAATACGAGTCAGCAATTAATATCTGACACTACATAATGTATATACATGTACTGTTTAAGGAAATAAAACCACTTATATAATGCTTCTATCAAATCAAGGAGAATGCATCCTGTTTATAATAGTAATAATAATAATAATAATTATAATAATAATAACAATAATAAAGTATTTATTTAAAGAGGCTACAAGTTGCAACAAAGGCAATCTACCCAGTGGGCCTAATTTATATATAACTTATATTGAACACTTGTAACGTCAATTACATATTGTTTTCATTTCAGTATGTTTGTACTATGTAGTTTATACATGGCTGCTGTATTTCAACAGATATATACACAGTAGAAACATAATAATCAACACCACTTAGATATTGCAATTTTACAAATGTAAAGTTAAAAAATAAAAGGGTGAAGACAAGAGTAAAAACCAATACAAACCAGAAGCTTCTTCGCCTAGCCTTGTATAAGGTGGAGGAGCGTCTGGAATAACACTACTGTCCGGTTCAGTATCTGTGAATATATGTCAGACATGTATAACCTGCCAATGAATCAAAAATTTAAACTCAAACCACCCGTTTTTAAAAACCAAAGTCCTGAAATTACCCGAAGCATGCGAACAAGTTATACTTGAATATATATCCATGTTGATAAACTAATAACCATCCCGAACCCCTATTGATATATTCATATTTATTTACTGTATACGATGTATTCAATTGAGTTCGAATATTATTCTTATATATCTTTACATAATGTTCGATAAAGCGAAAAGTCTTTCCATAATGTCTGATAAAGCGAAAAGTCTGTATAAAATGTTCGATAAAGCAAAAAGTCTTTACAAAATGTTCGATAAAGCAAAAAGTCTTAACAAAATATTCGATAAAGCAAAAAGTCTTTACAAAATGTTCGATAAAGAAGTTTTTATAAAATGTTCGTAAAAGCAAAAAGTCTCTAAAATATGTCCGATAAAGCAATCTGCATAAAGCAAAGAATGTTTTGAGAGTTAAACATACAAATATTTGCCTTACCTGTGTTGACTGCAGCACTGTCTGCTCCAGTTCCCGGTTGAGTGACTTCATTAGAGGCGCCTTCATTAACAACATCATCAGTTTGAGTTGATGTTTCACTACTTTTAGACGCCGGCTTCACATCTGATTTTTGTGTTGGTTGAGGTGTTCGTACACTTTGATTGCCCCCCTGCGAAAAGTTTCAACTTTATGTATAACAAGCATATTGTATCTTTTTTCAAATATAAGCATTTTGATACGATTAAATTCATTCCAACATTAAATGATTAAAGTAGACTTTTCAATCTTTTTAAATAATCTTAGTGACCGAAAATTTTATAACGACGTTTAAATAAAGGATATTTGTTTGTGTTACATGTAAGATTGCAATATATTTAATTGAGTGAACACCAGATGCAATATTTTCACGAGTGGCTTAGCCACGATTGAAAATAGAATAGCTGCACCCAATTGTATAAACGTTGGTTAAATTAACCCTGGGTTAAACGCTAACCGTGGGTTAAATTTGACCAACTTTGGTTAACTAACCAATTTGGTTAGTCACTTGTATAAACCGAGATAACCAAAAGGTTAACTAACCAAAATGGTTAAAATTAACCGCTGGTTAAACTAACTAATACTAATCCCGACATGCAATAAATTCTATATCCGGTTATGTTATTTTCGCGGAATATGTCAAAATTGACACATGGTTTACGCTTCCATTTTTATTACAATCGTAAAATTTTGATAGTAGTTAAAATTGGTTCAAATTTTCAATGAAGATGTTAATTGTCACCACACTAATTACATATCATCATTAAACAAATGTACAAAATATAACTTTTACGTAGGATGAACTTGTTTATGACATCGGAACTGGTGTCAAGGGAACTAAATTAAAATCAAGTATACTATTGTCGGTATAGATATTTGCCTATAAACATGGTTCAGAACAAATTTATTGTGTTTTTTCATGTAAAAATATTAGGAATTGTGATTATTAAATGATGAAGTAGTGAAATTAATTCGTATTTTTCCATTTTTACTTCGTGTCGGTTCCTGACAGTTCTTTTCGGTAATTAGGGAGACCGCCTGGTTGCTATGGGCTTTGTTTACAAATTAAAATGTACTGCAAATGAGCAAATATTCGCTGACATAATGTTATAAATCAAAATCATCCATCAACTGGGACAGAAAATGTCTAGTAATTTCGTACAAGAACCACTCGATGCAGAAGTATTGACGCATATATTTTCTATCAGATTCGTACCTAAAACGTTCGAACCCAAAATATTTTGTATAACAGCAGATGCAATTTTTGAATGATTTTTGCCCCAAACTACTCTCTGTAGTTTCACTATATAATATATGAAACTTCTGTTTCAGTAACTAAATACCATATCAGTCACCTTTGGGAAATCTTGTTGCATTTGCCAAAGCTATGTTTCATGATAGAAGAGCTTTACTGAAAGTTTACCATATTATAGCAAAATAAATAATATAATAAAGGTCTAGTTCTTGCTTATTCTTGCTTATAGCACCGCCCCTCTCCCCAAATAAAAACAATCACACCCTGCCACCACCGCCCCCCCCCCCCCCCCCCCAAAAAAAAACAACAAATAAAACAAAATAACAACAAGCAAACAAAAAAACCAAGAAAAATACACTAATGAAAACAAAATCACTTTGCTTTCTTGTGAATGTATGACTGACATCCTTTATTTTAAACATTCAACATGTTTTCTCTTTCTCACTTAAGTCACAACACTCAAATGCAAACTCAACTTTTCCAGCAGTACATATACGAAACAGAGGAAAAACTAAATGATCAATAATTATGACAAAGAAAACAATAGTCATCTTGAATATACCATAATAAATTTATGAACAATCAAAAGTGATTTTTAATTTACCTCTACTTCAATTTTGTATTATTTTTATTTAATACCCTACAATATTATGTTTAGGAATTTTTACATCTTAAATATGTGTAGATAAGGTTAAATTTAGCCAAGTTATCTTTTTAGAATGTTTACGGTAGTAATTTCCCTTAAAGGCCAAACCAAATCTATTGTGGTGTTATGTGTTCATGTTTGTCTTTGTTCCTTTTGTTATGGGTGATTGAACTGGTTTTGCAAGTTGAGTGATGGATGATTGATTTTGTATGAAAGTTGTTGTTAGATGATTTGGTTCTGGAATGTAACATTTTCTTAGTAACTGACCACTCCTTGTCTTGCTTTCGAAGTGACAACATTAATTCTTCACTTTATATCAGTAATTTCTCTATTAGAAATACTTGCTTTTATTTCTAATAATTATTAAATTAGATTTCTTCTTACAAAGCCTTGTTTTATTCTTTATAGAATAAATCTATAAACCTCATTGAGTGTTTATCTTATAAACCCTACCACTACATATGTATTACTTATACATGCATATTTCCAATCATTCATTTAAGTGTTAAGTATTTTTACAAACAAGATACATGTATAAGTAATACAATTATTATATAAGATGTAAGAATTCCTAAACATAATATTGTAGGGTATTAAATAAAAATAATACAAAATTGAAGTAGAGGTAAATTAAAAATCATTTTTGATTGTTCATGAATTAATTATGGTAAATTTATTGTTTTCTTTTTCATAATTATTGATCATTTAGTTTTTTCTCTGTTTAGTAAATTTACTGCTGGGAACCAAGTTGATTTTGCATTTCAGTGTTGTGACTAGTGAGAATTATAAAACATGTTGAATGTTTAAAATAAAGGATGTCAGTCATACAGTCACAAGAAAGCAAAGTGATTTTGTTTTCATTAATGTATTTTTCATGGGTTTTTTTTTGTTGTTGTTTAGGTTAATAAGCAAGAACTAGACCTTTATTCTATTATTTATTTTGCTATAATATGGTAAACTTTCAGTAAAGCTCTTTTATCATGAAACATAGCTTTGACAAATGCAACAAGATTTCCCAAAGGTGACTGATATGATATTTAGTTACTGAAACAGAAGTTTCATATATTATATAGAGAAACTACAGAGAGTAGTTTGGGACAAAAATCATTCAAAAATTGCATCTGATGTTACACAAAATATTTTGGGTTCGAACGTTTTAGGTACGAATTTGATAGGAAATATATGCGTCAATACTTCTGCATCGAGTGGTTCTTGTATGAAATTATTAACATTCTAACCATTTTCTGTCCCAGTTGACGGATGATTTTGATATTTGCTCATTTGCAGTACATTTTAATTTGTAAACAAAGCCCATAGCAACCTAGCCTAATTAATTTGGCGTGAACGGTTTGACCCATTTTACAGACTTTTTTTTTTTACTGTCAAACCGTTACGCTTAATTTTAACTGTCATTTTTACGCACGGAAAATCTACCGGCAACACTATCGATAGTTTGGACTGATTTTTACTGCTTAAACATGAAAGTAACTTCAATGTACTCTAAAAATCAATAGAATATAAATTCTTGTACTAACTTCTCCTAGAAAAAATATTAGATTGTACCTGTCTTAACGCATACATGCAATTTATTTCAAATTTGTACTGTCTACATTATCTTTGGCGGACATGTTATGACGTCATCGTAAAAAATCGAGTAGTACCTACCAGTGTGTCTAGCAGGTAAGTTTGGGTAACACAGGAAGATTAACTTGCAATAAATATAGGGGAAATAAATCTTTTCATTATTTTGTAATAAATTTGTTTATTATTAAATACTAATGAAAAAATACCAATGTGTTTAACATAAAATGCAATGGTAGCAAATAGGCTCCGTACAAGTACTGTTGTTTAATATTTTTTAAATGTTTTAATTTACAGTAACATGTGCTCAACACTTATCAATAGGTGGTTTGCCTTCTTGTTTACTGCTAATGACTGCCAATGTCACTCTCGCATAAAATACTGACTTCATTTATACATGCATATTTATATGACAATTAAGAACGTAAAAGAAATTTATTTATGGGAACTTTTTGAATGCACATCAAATTATTCAGTATTTGTACAAATAATATTTCAAGAGTTCTTTTCACCAATTGCCGATTAAATAATACCATATCAAACCTACTGATGAAGATTAATGTCTTCTTGACATACTTTTATTAATTTACTAAAAGGAACTTTATTGTGATCCAGCCATATGCTGTGTAACTATAAGGAAGGGTCACATATTTTATTGAAATAGATTTTAAATAGAGGATATTAAAAAGGTCATTGAGAAGATAAGAATTTTCAAATGAACAGATAAAGAGACTTGTACATGTTTAAGTGTTATGTCTTGTTGTTTTATACTGTTTTGGTGCACTTTTTGTTTGTGTCCCTTTGTTTTCTCGTCTATGATAAGTGTCTTCCTTTTTGCCCCTAGTTTTATTTCATTATTTCGCCCCCTCCCCCTCCTTGAATTTCCTATCCCTTCCCATGTGCTCGTTTACTTAGAGGCCCTATTAATCATTCATTTATTTTCTTTGATTTTGATTTCCTTGTCAGTTACCATTATTTTTTCATATGTTACTGTATCATTTAGAAAAAAGCCTGACCGTGCTCTCCCTTGCGCCCTGTCTTGTTTTTGTTTAGGATCCTCCTGGGCTCCTTGCCAATGGTTCTTGTTCGTGGGTCGTGTTGAGGATTTGCGTTCATTGAACGTCACCTTTCCTTGTTCATCTTGTTTAACATATTTTATACATGTATACCGAACCGTAACAAACACATAATGATTATTAATACAAGGTTCGGCTAGCAAGCAAAGAAATGTAAAAGAAAATAGAAAAGACTTATCCACCCATCTCCCCGTCTTAAAACCCCCACAAAAAAACGCCTCAAACTGCAAAACCGAAACATAAATACACATAAGTGCCCAAGAGGCTCTGGTACGTGCAAGTGCTCCATTGCGCCGGTTTAAACATAACTTAAACATAATAATGTTGAAATTTTTAGTCAACACCCACAGATGTGTACAAAATACGGAGATAATCATGGAACTTTCAATGTGACACATTCGAGGTGCACGTTTTGAAATGAAAAGCGGGCACTAGATAACATAGAATTTTGCGACAGTTCGTTCTAACAGACGACTACAGTAATTTAAGCAGACTATCTGTCTTACATTGTTATTTTATTCTACGTCTAAATTACGGTCACTAAATTCCCACTTGCTGCGTTTTTATCATAAACC